TGTATATCGTTTAAAAGTATACTGAACGACCAGTGTTATTACGGCTCAGGGGTATAACTTCCTCTCACATTTTGGCATTTGGTGGCGCACTTTCGGCGAGAGTCGGAAATCCGGAAACAGTCGATCGTTTCAGGATAGGTGGGCGTGGCTACAACACGAGAAATATCCCAAATTTACTTGGATACGAGTAATCATTTTCAGCAAAAAAATCAATAACTGCCCATTTCAGTGGAACACAGATCTAAAATGGGAAACGTGAGGATGGGCATTGCACAGGCACTTTAAAAATGAATGATGCATGCTTTGGACTAGGAAAAAATTTAATTTCAGTTGCTTATCAAAAATGATTAGCATTTTGTTATTCATGGATTCACAAAGATTTGTGGGTCTTAGTAATAAGGAACTCTGTTGAATCCGAATGAAACTTGAATATTTCCCACAAATTGTGCCTAGTCATGACATTAAATACTTCTTAATATTTCCTAAGGTCCAAATAAAAGAACAAAGAAAAGAAATTATTTTGATGTGTAGTTTAAAGCAACATAAAACAGACTTTATAAACAGACATTTTCAGTGACTGTAATTGTAATTTACACGTCTCATGTTTTATTTTATTTTAGAGTGAAGCTGACAGAACTCTTATCTATATTACCCTGTATATCACAGAATGTTTAAAGAAATTACAGAGAGTAAGTTTCAATTTGTTTATCATTACTGCCAGTGTATGTTCAGAGTTAAATGACAGATACCTAGAAGGCTTCATACCAGTTAATTCCACCTACAGCCAGATGTCTGTATTTGGGATTGAAAAAATATGAACCACTGTTAACTCGTGTTTTTTACTATCATGTTAGTCAGGGTCTAATTGCCTGGTTGTTATGCTACTGAGTGTATGTGTATGTACCAGTATGTTTAGATGCTATAAAGTTGCAATTTAAAGCATTTCTATTTTCACAGTCTCCCATTCCTACCAAAATGCTCAAAATTTGACTGTAGTCATAAAACCTGGTCTTTAAGTATTGTTCGACTTTTCCTCGAATATCGAGATTAACATTCATATAATACAGCAATTATCAGTGTTCTCCCCAGAAATTGTTCATAGAGTCGGGGCTAATTTGCATAATAATTAGCATAAATTAACATATTGTTGTCATATGGAGAAATAAAACAAAACCAGTTTTTTTCCTTTTTTTCTATTTATTTTATGTACATTCTGTATACAATTATTGCACTGCATGTTTAGTATTGCAAATGTCCTGCAGAAATACTGAGTTTTCTGTTCCTTTGCTTGGCCCAGC